CATTACCGTCTGGCTATTTGTTGTTAAATGTCTACAATTACAATTGGTAAAATTAGTGTTGTAAATAGCAGCATAGGTGTAAGACGTGGTAAAAAAATTATTTATTTTTTATTAATTTATTATTATTTATTTAATAATTAAAATTTTCATAACTTTTAGCTAACTAAGTTGAAAGGCCCAAAAATCATTTAACCATTTATTGGACCAAAAATTTATAGATGGCAACTCCAAGGACTTTGTTAGGAAGTTCCAATGTGGGATAAGAATTCGTTTGAAATTGATTAATATTAGCAACGGCAACTCCGTTTTTAATATGAACTACTCTTTACCATGAAAAATCGAAGGTGAAAGATTGATACAATTTTTAGGAAAAAAAGTTGAATTACGTCACCTACGGAAATACTTTTGGTAAATGGTATGTATATTAAACAATAACATTAGGAACGGAATATACATTGGTAAAGAACTACCACTTTTATCAACGAAAATTTCGTTTGTTATCTTCGTAGTTAAAAGTCCAATACTTTTATCAACGGATAATCCGTTTCTAATTATCAACGGATTATATCCGTAGGTGAAAAAACTGATTTTTAGTAGTGATTCTCAAAGAAAATTCAAACTAACTTGCGGTCCATATACCGAGGTCTCAAATCTCGGAGTAAGCTCAGTACTAACTTGTGGTCCATTCGGACCATTCTCCATCCACCAGGGTAATTAATTTTAGAGTTGGTCTATAGGTACATAAGGGTTGGTACACAATGGTGTCCACACCCTCACATGAGGGGGGCCCGCCTGAATATAAAGGGTAATTAATTTTAGAGTTGGTCTATAGGTACATAAGGGTTTTCCTTAATTTTATCCTATGAGGATGCTTATAATGTTGATCAAACTTTTTTGTTCCAAATTATTAATTACTGATATTTATTTTTATTTCATATTAGGCACTACTTCTATCTTCATTTGATACGCATTTATAAATTATTGCTAATTTTTTTTTATATTTAAATAGTCAAATTTCATTTTTAATCACACATTTTGTTAGATCCACAATTTTTATTCATTTTTTAATCACACATTTTATGAGATATACCAACCGGTAATCCCCCAAAAAGCTTTGTCTAACGGGGGCTAAATTGGTTGTGATTTTAGCCCATGTTTGGTTTTATTAAAAATTAGATTTTCAATAAATTTAGATAAAATTTAATGAAATGTATGGTTGAAAATTGATAAAAGTTGTGAATTTGATCATGACATGTATGGTTACAATTAATTACTTACTTTGATTCAATTTTTTACCATTTTTTTTTTTTTTGGGTTTATAAGTAATTTTTCTAGTTATGTAATTTTTTATTTATAAGTAATTTTTGTGTATAGTTGAATTTTTGTCTTGTAAAATTAAAAGAAAATTAAGAAATGATTAAAAAAAATCATCAATTTGGTGGACTGAAAAATACAATCCAAATTACACTATACAAAATCAGGCTCCCAAAAGAGAGAGGCAGCGAGTTATCCCTTAGGGCCTGCTTGGAAGTTTTGGGATACTAGTTTTGAGCCTTTTTCAGAGCATCCATTATGAGCGCTATGAACATACCGATTTGAAGTGATTTTAATATTTATTTTTAAAATCATCTAATTCATGCTTGAAAAATTATTATTCATCGATTCTAAAAGTTTTTAAAAAAAATTACATATAGCTTAGTGAAATTTTCATTTTTTAGTTTCTTGTATAAAAAATTTTTACTCATAAATGATATTTTACTTATAGATTATTATTTTTTTCATGAAAGTTAAATAAAGTTAAAATATTCACTTAAAATTTTAAGCAAGTATTTTACTTTTAAATAAATTTGATAATTATAAGTTAAATTTGCTTTTAAATAATTTTAAATATAAGTCAAATTTTTTTTTTAAAAAATATTTTGTAAGTGAGTTATTGTCTTAGTAGTAGTATTTTTACTTTATAAGAAATTTGTTAAACAAAAGTGATTTTTTATCTTATAATTAATATATTACTTAGAAGTAGTATTTTTAATTATAATGTAATTTGTTTGCTTATAAATAATTTTTTTTAGTTAATATAGATTTATTTACAAGTTAGTTTTGAATAAAAAAATTTGGTTGACCC